AAACTATACTGCCACAATTGAGGTGGTGGCACAGAAATAAGAACAAGAGGCCAGATGGAGGTAGATGTTCTGTAGACCATTTTTGATGCCAAGAAAAATGTCCACACAGCCACCAACAGTCTAGATGGTTCCTTGTAGGAAATGTCTTCTAAATAATTGGTGAGAAGTCAAATTTAATTTCTAGGTTGCAATCAGATTTGCTGAGTGAATGGGCTTTTCAGGCACCTGCTGATTGGGTGCGTGGCAGGGTGTGTTTCTCAGTGTGGAGGGCTGCTCCCCTGCACTTCCCCTTCAGCCACTGCAGTGCCCATGGTAGCAGCTGCCTCCATGACTTGGGGGCTCCCAGCACAGAAGGAGACTTGTAAAATTCAATACAGCCACAGGCTCTCATAACTCCTTGCAGATTTTTCTGCTGTTTTCTTGGGGATGGAAAGCGAGGAAGCAGGGAATTATATACCTAGTGCTGAGACCTGGCAGGCACCACCTCCCAGGCACAGATGTTGCCCTCTATCCGGAGTGTTGCAACTCTTCTCTTTTGCTGTTGGTTATTAATTAAATTCTAATGTCGCTTTTTAGGTTGTCCTCAGTAGGCTGTGAGAATCACACCTTGGTGCTGGGGAGGGCAATAAGAAGAGGAGGGATGATCTTCACTCTTGCTGCCTCGCTGGCAAATACATGCAAGAAGGAACCAGTGTAGCTGCCCCATGGGTTTCTGTTGCTGAGTGTGTCCAGGCAGAGACAAAAATGTGCAGAATAATGTTTCATAAATTGAAAATATCAAGGAAGTGCCAACAACTGTATGTTTTGTGAATGTGTGTGTATGTGTCTGGTGAAGGTTCAGTTTTCCTTATTCTCATGCCATTTTGGAGGGGTTTTATCATCTTGCTGTCATACATAATTTTCATGGTAAATATCTGTTATACATGGAGAAATCTGAGAGCAGCAACTCTCAACCAAGTCTGTAAGGAAAACCACCATGTTCTTGTGAAGAACTTCATCTTACCATGAAGGCAGACCCGATTTATGAGGAAGGGCAATATATTTTATTTGACCAACTGATACAGTTGGAAAAAACAAACCAGCTCTTGACCACACATTCTTCTTCACATCTCCAATGGTCTTGGGCATTCATGGCTACAGTAACTCTACTTAGTACTGTTTATATAAATTAGTAGCTTTGAGTAACAAATGAGGTCTCCTGTAGAGGTAGGCTGTGGCATTATATGCACATCCCTGTCTGGTCTCGGAGATGGTGAGGGATATTTAGGACAGGAATCGTTATTGTAATAAAGAAGGTGAGTAATTGCGTATCTTCCAGTCTTTTGTGGTGCAGCTTCACTCTTACAAGTTTCGTTAGTTCTTCAGTCATGAGAATTCTGAATATTGTTTCCTTAAGAGGAGTTTTAGGAAGTTTTCTTTGCTCTTTGCTTTGTGTAACCAGCAGTGCACATATACCACTCACAAACACATTTGATGTTGTCTAATAAACATGATTGTTGTTCTGTTAGCTTGAATGAAATCACAGTGCACTTAGAGTCTTGTCTTCCCTTCAGTTGCTCATAAAGGGAATTTGCAGTATCTTGAGCTTGAGTAGCCTGTTTCAGTATTTTAAACTAGTGTTTGCTCAGCCTTTTGGGCATGTTCAGTTATATAGGCTTAGAGTGAAAGTGGTTTTAACCAGTTCAGCACATAATTGTGAACAAGTTATTCAAGGCTATTCCAGAACTGAAGTGTTAATATTGAATGCAATGATAAAAATAGTTTTAGTATAAAAAGTAAGCAAGAAAACTCAGAGATTTTAGGTTTGTTTCAGTCTTCCATCCATAACAATGCTTAAATAGAACAAAAATATGCAAGTCCAGACTTTTTTCCTTTCTTTCTGTTTGGCAAGTCAAGTTGAATAAATATGTAGGAAAAGCTGGTGGGGAGGAGGGGACTAGTAGACCCAGACTGAACGCCAGCTTTTCTCCAAGGTCTCATGTTGCAAAGCACTTAGATCAGTAAAGTGAGGGTTAGCAGGACTCTCCTGTGTTATTGGATGTTGCTAGTCTAATTTCTCTGGAAATGTACTTCTCGAACAGTCCCAGCTGTCCCAGGAATGCAGTTTAACCATTGTTGTTCATAGTTCTCAATTGGAAAGAATTAAAAAATGTCATTCTGGCAGAAGATTTATGCACTGAACTTACAATGATTGAATACCAGGAGTTAGGTGAAATTTGTATCTGCTTTCAGATTTGGGTAAGACTCTCCCTCCTTTCTGAGCAGAATGACACAGTACTGTATTTTATTCTGTGCTTAAAAAAAAAGGAAAAAAGATTGCTATTGTAATAACAGCATTTGCGTTGCAGATGGTACTTTTTTGCTGGTTGCTGTTGGAAGCAACTGACAAAAAAAGCTCAGGGATGTGGAATGCTAGGGAAGATAAATCTTAGAGAGCAGATACTATATCTAGTTCTTACTTCAGTGTCTCAGAAGGATAAATTTTCTGACTATTTCTCTGATTATGACAGGGAGATTTCAGTCTGTGATTGACTATATTTTTGAGGGTTGGTAATGGTAAGTTTCTTTTACGCCATCAATTGTCAATGCACTGATGGTGTCAGACTTCATATTCTGATAAGAACTGATGCACTTGCATCCAGTTTCTGAATCCATAACCACACACTTGGGTACCTAGGTGGAAGCTGAGACCAATTTATTTGTCAGGCAGCACTGTCCTAGAGTAACTGGAGTCTTCCAGTTAGTTGCTGTTGAGACTTAAAACTCCCCTCCAAGCAGAAGAATTAATGTGCCTCTCAGCCTCTTGCCTACTACAGTTGGTTGTGTAGAGTGTAGCAAAAAATTCTAGGCTTGCATAAAATGTGAAGGTTTTTTGTTTCTGTAAGTTGCTACTACTCCCATGCTGTGAAATATGTCATCCGTCTTAATTTGATCATTAGTCTGTGTAAATATGAAAGTTGTGACATGCAAAAGCCTTTCCCCCTAGGATAACTGTATGTGTCCATGCATTTATGTCTAGGTTGTATGGATTAATACATACACTATCTCAGGGGGAAGGAATCATCATGCCCTAGGTGCTGCTGCAGTGTTCCTCCCAGCTGTCCCAGGGCTACCACTCAGACATAGCACAGGATGCCAGTGAGGAGTTTCTTCTTCTCCCCAAGGCAGCCACAGTTCCAAAGGGGCTGTTGTAGAGGCCAAGAGCAATGGTCTTTACAGGTGGGGCCTAAGCCCCACACAGCTGCTCACTCACTTCCCCTGAAGTGGGATGGAGGAGAGAATTGGAAGGGTCAAAGTAAGAAAACTCACTGAGATAAAGACAGTTTGGGAGGTAAAGCAAAAGCAGCAAGCAAAGCAAAACAAGGAATTCCTTTACTGTCTACCATTGGCAGATGTGTGTTCAGCCATCCTCAGGCAGGCAGGGCTATGTCACATGTAATGGTTACTTGGAAGACAAATGGTTTAACTCTGAATGTCTTCCCTTCTTTCTGATTGCTGAGAACAATGTCATATGGTCTGGAATATCCCTTTAGCCAGTTGGGGTCAGCTGTCCTGGCTGTGTCCTTTCCCAGCTTCTTGAGCACCCACAGCCCTGGCAGGGCAGCATGAAAAACGGGCAAAAATTCCTTGACACTGTGCAAGCACTGCTCAGCAATGGCTAAAACATTCCTGTGTTATCAGCTCTTTTTCCAGCACAAATCCAAAACATAGCCACATATCAGCTACTGTGAAGAAAATTAACTCCATCCTAATCAAAACCAGTACACTTAGGAAAGAATGATTCATTGAAGAAACAGCCTATCCCAAGTTTTTGTGCCATATTTAGGCACCCATTCATTAAAATTTAGGTTTTATATTTAAGAGTATACTGTACAGACCTGGTGGGAACAGAAAATACTCAACTCAAAAATAAGCTTTACTTAGTTTGTTGGCAGTGGCAATACCAACAGCTCAAAACCAAATAAAACATGAAATTGCTGTTCTGAAGAGCTTGAAACCAGAAGTACTTCCTAAGGAAGCACCAGCCAAATACCCACTACCTTGTGTGGTTGGTCTGTAGCCCAGTCCTCTTTGTCCTTCTGTTTTATTTAGCTCAGGAAAATAATTGAAAATGAGTCCTCATTATCCATGTCTATTGTCTCTCTTTTTTCTCTTTCTTTAAAAAAATATTGTTTTTTGTGAATATGTCGAAGGCTGCTAGGGCTCCCGTCCTTCCAAGGGGTAGACGGAAAACTCATTTTGAAGCAGGAACTGATACTGGGCACTATAACTAACTACATTACTTGTCAGCAGTATTTGTACATTTAAAAATCATGGAAACAACATGGGAAGTAATGGAGAGACAAGAAGCAACATCCTCAATAAGAGCACACAGAGAATCAGGAGGCCTTTGCTGTTTTCTCTCCTTTGTCAGGAATCTGCTAGGCAAATAAGCATCTTAGTGTCTTGGGTTTTCTCTTTGTTTTGTACTGCAGAATACAGCAAAACATTGTGTACAGTATTTGAGACCTGTGAAGCATTGTGAAGTTTAAATGCTAATGCTTTCCTGTAATAATAACCTAAAATTATTACTGGGGTGCAGATTGGTTTTTTGCTCTTTTTTTTCTTCTGTTTGGAAAAGCTGTAAACTTCTAGTTGTGTGTTAAGACTTCAGTAAGGCACTTAAGCACACATTTGAAATTAAGCATGTGCATTAGTCCTTTTCTGAATACACAAAGCTATTAATTAGGGCTTGTAACAAGGCTGTTTGATTGTCTGAAGTGTGAATAGAATGTGCTTGGGGGGGGGAGAACCTTGCTTTTCAAGCACATGCGTATCCTCTTGGTAAAAACTAATAAATAAAAAACCTCTAGTTAGTCATGCACTAGTGTGACCTTCCATCTCCAAGTCCTGCTCTTCCCTTGCCATGCATAGCACTAAAGTAAGTTGTTATGATCAATATGGTTAGTGCAGTAAGTGAATGTAATGATGCTAATGAGGCATTTCTTTATAATGATCAGGTTCTCCAGCCCTGCCCAGCAACATGGTATATTTTGGAAGCTCTCAGGATGATGAGGATGAAGAGGAGGAGGAGGAGGAGACAGAGGACACAAAACCAACCACAAACAATGCTTCATCATCATGCCAGTCAACCCCTAGGAAAGGAAAAACACTTAAACATGTACCAAATGGGCAAGGTAGGTCCTAAATAGTGCTGTTTTTAGCACCCCTAGTAAAGAAATTTATGAGCTGAATGTGCTTAAACCTTGTCCATTCTTCTGAGTCTGAGTGAAAAAGTGATGGAGTGAGATGTAGTGTCAGCATTTTGTGCTTTAGCCTGCTTCTTCTGACAGTCTGAACTCTGTGGCAGAACTATAACCACAGGACTGGAATTCTATGCATACACACACATGCACACATACATACGTGTATCTCAAGGTGGGGTTAGTCTCTTCTCCATGTACCAAGCAGTAGGACCAGAGGAAGTGGCCTCAAGTTGTGCCCGGAGAGTTTTAGATTGGATGTTGTGAAAAATTTCTTCCATGAAAGGGTTGTCAAGGCTGCCCAGGGGAGTGGTTGAGTCACTATCCCTGGAAATATTTAAAAGTCGTGTAGATGTGGCACGTAGGGACATGGTTTAGCGGTGGACTTGGCCATGTTAGGTTTATAGTTGGACTTGGTGATCATAAATGTATTTTCTGACCTAAACAATTACATGATTCCGTTTTATATATATAT